AATAAGAGGGAAAAAGAAAATATAGTTTCTCCACATTTCTTCACTTTCCAGCAAGTAGGGGTGTTTGGTATGCTCCTATTAATAGAATTTATGTAATTTTTTAACGAAAATCCAGCTAAATGTCATATTTGGGTTCGATAAATCTAACGTCATATTAAATCCATTTTTTTGTCCCGTTTATTTCGTGACTTAAATCCGGATTCATTAATATCCAAATATTAGTTGGATTTAATGAATTTAGCTTATGAATAAAATACTTCACAAAGATTTATACCAAACATATCAAATGGATTTAATTGGAATTAATCTTAAATGAACCAAACATTATTTCTAATTTAACAATATTTGGATATGATAAATCTGGAATTACCGGATTTACTAAATCTTATTTACCATAAATTCTACTTGTAGCCAAACACCCTCGTAGAGACTCGTGCTAGCTCAATAGAAGACAACTACAGGTCGTTCAGGTACTCCACATCAAAGAAAATTACACTCTCCGGGTCAAAAGTTTTGAACTTGAATGACCACTTTATAGGAAACAATGTGTCAGGACAAGCCCGCAAAAGTAAGATCGTGAAAGGACGAACCACAATATTTGCACGAAAAATTTGCAGGTTCGGTAATAGTTTCAGCCTCCCCTTGCCATACTCTGTACAACTTAAGGTGTATCAAAATTCAATATGCCATTTGTCAATATGAAAAGCAAGGAATGGATGGAGATTTAGACATTACAAATTCCTCCATCATCCAGCATTAAATTTCAATATGTCATTTGTCAATATGAAAAGCAAGGAATGGATGGAAATTTAGACATTACAAATTCCTCCATCATCCAGCATTGAGAAATGAAAACGCATGAGTCTCATGTAATGCATCTACTGCCACCGCTCAAATAGATCAACCTATCGTGGCTAGACCACAAATTCACATCCACCGATAGCAAGTGATTAATCACTAAGTGAAAGCACCCCATTGAGCATAAAAGCAACAAAGCTCATGTGCTGCTCCCTTGAAAGAAAAAAAAAAAGATGCAAGATGCTGCCATCTAATCTTAGACCTAGGGCAGATAGTGTTATCTCTTACCCATATGTGCACAAAGTAATTCCCAGGTCATAATTGTAATCCAAGTACGACAGCGCCGAAGTCACCCAACTCCAGCCTTGTTAATGTCAGACAAAGTTGCATACCTTTTTCAGCGAACTGCAAGAAGGAGTCAACCCTCTTCAACGAAACGCAACCCTTGCAAGCTAAATTCTTATGACCACGCTCCTTAAGCAACTCCTCAAGCTCCTTAAAACATGCCGTTTTCGCTAACCCCCCGCCACCGCCCCCTCCTGTTCCTCCACTGACTCTACTATGGTGCTTCGCCTTCTTGTACTCCTTCAGTAAGTTCCTCCACTTATCAGTACACATGGTTGGGGACCGCTCGAAGCCTTTCTCCCTCATCTTCGCAGAGATCTGCTCCCATAAGTGTTTGTTGGACTTCGAAGTGTTAAAGAGACGATCCATCTCGCGGCGTAGGGCGATGAGACAAAGGGTTTCTTCCTGGACCCAGGTCTCAGCACGCTTCTTGGGATTAGGGCCATGGGTTCTAGCCTCATGGTCGTCACCGCAGCTGCTCTCGCTCATGGTCATTCTCTTCCTTGGCTCGTCGAGTTGATCCTCTTCTCCCCTTCGCTGGAAAGGAAAATCCCCGCAGGCGAGAAGCTGCTCTAGAGTGAGGGAAAAGGACATCTCAGAGAAGTAATACCCATAAGAGAAGCGAAGCCCTTCTGTTTGATTTGTTTGGATGGTTATTTGAGGGGGTTATTTGAGGGGAAAATTTTTAGAGATGTTAATTTCAGTCAGCGGGTTGGATATGGATTTACTTTGAAAATGATAATCTGAACTCAACACGGATAATAAATGGATCCAAAATTAAGATTGGAATCTAAACTTGCCCGCTAACCCGAACCCAAGTCAAAATTTTATGTTTATTGGGTTATGTTATGATTTTCAGGTTCAACTTAAACTCAAACTTGACTCGAACAAAAACGGGTAGAATTCTCTAACCCAAATTTGACTCAAAAAATTTTGGGTCAAACTTAACCCGGATTTTTCAAGTCGGGTGGCACGTTGGGTCAATTTTTGGAGAAAATTTTTCATACATAATATGTACGCAGATCTGCGTGCGGAGTTCCAATAATATGTCGGCATGCCGCCACATGGAGGTTATTGTGGGGTTATTAACGTGAAATCACGGAGGTTATTGCGGGTTAATGCATGGGGTTATTGAAATGAAACCGTAGAGATTATTTGGGGATTTTTGGAGCGAAACCACAGAAGTTATTGAAAGTTATTTGGGAGTTGTTGTGGCGCCATTGGAGTTAATGCCACAATAATGCTCTAATAACCTCCAATAACCTCTTAATAACCCCCAATAACCCTACCAAAAAATAAATGTGATTCCACTCCAATAATTTTCGCGGTTTCACTTTAATTTTTTTATAGGTGGTCCGACATAGCACACATGACAACATATTACTGGAGTACACACATAGAGCTATGTATGTACTCCGTATGGAAAAATTTCTCCAATTTTTGACACCCTAGGAAATTTTGGGGCGTCTGTATTTGTGTAGTGGCGCCGAGTACAATTGAAGAGTCTCCCTTCAGCTTGCGTTTACTATTTGTGCTCATGTTGAACTCAAGTAAGTCGAGATGTTGGTGTAATTGTATTTCATTTTTTTTTAACAAGGAAGATTTACATACATTCCACTCAATCTGCTTTTACCTAAAACCAATGAGAAAGGAAACACTCCTATTTCTCCCTTCCTCCCACCCGCTTACGTGCGCATCAGCTTCTTTAAATTCTGCTAAACCATCTTCGAATGGAATTTGCTAAATCCTTAATTTAAGGCGAACAGAAAGAGAAACATGATTTAAGAACCCGCGGGATGTTAAGATGTCATTTTTACAGTTATTAGGTTAGGTGTTACGCATGTATTGCCTCCAAAAAATTTACTTCATAAATTAGAATCCCCCCATCAAAATAACTTACAAAATAAAATATTATTTTAAAAATGTTAGTTCAAGTCAATTAGGTTCATAATTTTTCACTTCTAAAAAAATATTATAATAATAATTAAAATAACTTAAAAAATAAAATATTATTTTAAAAATGTTAGTTCGAGTCAATTAGGTTCATATTTTTTTAGATTTTTCACTTCTAAAAAAATATTATAATAATAATTTGATGACAAGATAATAATAATACAAATAATAATAATAAAAATAATAATAATCATATTGATTAAGTTACACCTAATGAATAAATAAGTTTAATTGCATAATCATTTATATTTTTTTTCTAAATGATGTAGGATCTCTAGTTGAATCATTGTATTATCAGAAAGCGTCGAGTTTTGTTGCCTCGAGATAAATAACTATTTTTTTATTAAAAGATCCTTCCTAGTTAGTAACGTTAATCCTTATTATTTGTTGTAGACTCATAGCTACTTTGAAAGATTGTCAGTCAAACCTTGCTACTTTACTTATAATTTTTCACTTTTTTTAACTTCAATTATTACTCTTGATGGAAGCAATAATTGTGTTAATTTATTACTGTAAATTTTCTTTATATTGAGTAACCATGTAATCATTTAACTTTCTTTTTTATGAATTGCATTTGGATTTGTGTCATATCACAAGCCCGTGTGAATTAGCATATTCTTACATATTATACTTTTGGAAAATTTGGTATACTTATGTGATGACTTGTAGAGTGGTGGAACCCTTTTAGATATTGGATAGCCAAGTCGTAGGCTAATAGAGTGATGACTCTACACTAAATAGTTAGACTTCTTTAGGTTGGTATTGAACTTCCCAATTTCAAGTTGTACGTTAAAACTGATTATAAAAATAATGAATGAAAAATTGAATACTAAGAAACTTGATTGGAAATGATCGCATATTTTCTTACGATAAGTAAGCATAATTTATGGCTATCAATCTCTTGTTACTTTATAATGTTATATATGCATGTAATAATCAATCATATTTGTTGCTCATACCGCACGCCCTATTTTCCTTGTCGTTTTTGCTTTAATAATTAGTTGTTATTTACTTAGCTTGTCGGTTAAACTCACTCCTTAACATTTTATATAGCATCTTATATTCAATCACCAGCATAACCTTCTTCATCGAAGAATACCTGATGGTTTTATATTTTCTATTTTGGCCTTTTCTTGATTTTTTTTTAAGCATAATTTATGGTTATCAATCTCTTGTTACTTTATAATGTTATATATGCATGTAATAATCAATCATATTTGTTGCTCATACCGCACGCCCTATTTTCCTTGTCGTTTTTGCTTTAATAATTAGTTGTTATTTACTTAGCTTGTCGGTTAAACTCACTCCTTAACATTTTATATAGCATCTTATATTCAATCACCAGCATAACCTTCTTCATCGAAGAATACCTGATGGTTTTATATTTTCTATTTTGGCCTTTTCTTGATTTTTTAATTTAATTGTTGTATTTTTTTCTTTTGGTGTTTGGGTGTGGTTTAATATTGTTGTTTAGCATTGATTAGGTCATTTTTTTTGCCTTTCTTTCAGTTGTACCAGTGAACTATTTATTATGAAATAAAGTTTTTATTTATTGGTTTATTTCTATTGTTATTTTCATACAATATTTCTTTTAAAAATACAAAAAAAAGTTCAATTAATTTTATCATGTCCTGCATTTTTAGGATGAACATTCTTCCGAACTCAAGGCGTGAAAAAGTGGTATCGGGGTCTATTTTTGTATTTAAACATTTTTAAATTTGCATCTCATATCCATTGACTTCTTATGATTAGGTAGGGGTAGGTTATCCTTGTTAATTAGTTATTTTATCAATTTTTATTTTGGGTATATTTCACTTCTTAAGAATAGCTCCTAGGAGAATAGGCACAACAATCGCTTGTAGAAGAGGAGTCCAGAGAGCTACTATAAATGATGTGTATCTTCCTAGGGGTCTCTGCTCCCCTAATCATTGTTGTGCTGATTCTGCTCAAACCACTGAGACTGCTAGGGCATTGAATCTCAACATAGTGAATCTCATGGAGGTAGTAACACATAATGTTACTCAAGCATTACAAGCCAGTTTCACAGCTTAAATTACACAACTAATCCGAGCTTTTCAGCAAGTAGCACAACCGACATTATAAGCCACTCAACTATTACCACTAGAGGCTACTATGGAGGCACAACCTAATCTACCAATGGCAACAGCTAGGGTGGGTGTCATGGATTGAGCGATGAACCAATTTTCAAAGACACAACCTCCTACCTTTATTGACATGATGGACCTGATCAAGTCTGATGCATGGCTTTATGATATAAAAAAGAGATTTTGATAAATAAAGTGCCCTAAAGATCGTAAGACAGATAGTGTAATGTTTCAGTTGCACGGAGAAGCTAATGATTGGTGGGAGAGTCATCATCGCAACACTTGGACCAGGCACAATAATTTCATTAGCGGATTTTAAGAAATTATTCTTAAAGCAATATTTCCCTATAGCGGACCAAGCCAAGCTCAAGAATGACTTAAGGAAGCTGGAATAAGTTACAAGGACTGTTTGCTAGTACAAGACAAATTGCTAGGATTTTTCAATTCATTTCGTTGATTAACCAACATGAAAATTGGATGATCAACCTCCTAGTTGCTAACTTTAGAAAGGACATTTAGAAGCGTCTATCAACTGTCGAGTGTATGATGTATAGAGAACTAGTGGATTAAGTTATTACATGTATAGATTGAGATCAATGCCTGTGAGGAAAAGCATATTAGGAAACAAAAGAATTTAGATAAATAAGTGAATGAGAGTTCCCAAAAGAAAAAAACATCCAAATCATCGGGCGCAGAAGTAAAAAACAAATCCTCGATGTGTTCATGCAAAAAAATGACATTCTGGGACATGTAACTTAGTCATATGTAAATGCTTCAGCTATTAAAGTGTTAACATCACTTTTGGTTGAGGTCTAGTTTTCTCCTCTTCAGTAGACTAGGGTCCAACTATAGAACTTTTCTGTTGACTATTCCTAAAAAACTAAAAAAGGAACCCTCACCAGTAGAAATTCTAAACTTTTTTGTGCTCAACTTGAAGTTTCATATATTGGTCCTAACCTCTAGCACTTAGTAGGTGAGGCCATTATAGGGGAGCTCAAGGAGAGTCCCCATAGGACTTCTTGACCTTAGGGTTGACCCTGGATGCTGGTCTAGAGCTAGTTCGCTCACTCGCACCCACTTGCAATCACTGTCACTCATTTTCACCGCCATTCACTCACAACCCTAAACCCAACTTATTAACTTTTATCCCTTGATCTTTTGAGACACTCATGTAGATGGTCTCCTAAACCCACTAGCTTTAGGCTAGGGTCTAGCCAAGACCAGTACATAGAGGACCCAAATGGAGATTCCATTGGCTCATAGCTCAAATAGGGTGGTTGGCACCTTAATTTTACTAAAATACCCAACTCAGCCTTTTGTCCCCAAAACCAGTTTGGATTCTTCAATTGAACTCAATTTTGATCCCAATTTCCCCCAATTTCAGTTCTAAACTCAAATTCAGCATAATCAAACTCAATTCAAACCAAATTCAAGTCCCACATTTGAGTCCAATTTGAACCCAAATCCAAAATCCCAAATTTGCCCCAATGTAGTCATGTCCTGAATGTCACCAAATTGAATGTCCAAACCCCAAAATTGACCCCCAATGGATATTAAGAACATTTGATGGCGATCACCCAGATCAAATTAA